GGGGGGCTTCAAGGAGTCTACTTTCCCCACTCCCCCAAAAGAAGAAATGGCTCCAATCTCTTTACAAAAAAAGAAAGATAATACACTTTTAAGGCCCAGAGAAGCATGTTTTGTATATAAATTATCACAGATTGCTGTTAATTGCTACAAAATATGGAAAGTAATTATCAGATTGCTGGATTGGCACAGATGAAAGAGTTGTATACAGCTCTTTGCAAAAAAACTAATCATTTTGAATATGAAACTGAAAGAAGTAATCATAGACATTAACATTGAATCATTTGTCATCACTTCAGATTTTAACGCCAACTCTAAAGTGGACCTCATCAATAACACAGACGTGTATCAAGTAATGTGTAAGATACTTGGGATAGAAGCAGCAGCTAATAATGGATCCTGGGAAGCTATGAGTACCTTGACCATGTTTGACCAGCCGACTACATCAACAACTACATCAGCATCGCCACCTGAGACTACATCTTCATCAACATCTTCAACTTTGTCTCCAACTGCACAGCCACAGAGTGAGTATAAATTGGATAATGGATAATGAGGATCGTTATGAAACTGATTGGCATTTCATAAATGGGTCATTCCACAAGAAAAGTAATAGGTTATGTCAGTGATGCACCACTTTTATGTCGAAATCATGCACATATTATACAAAAGTTTTGCATCACTATAAAGCATGTAACCCAAATGTTCACTTTATTTGTGGAATGATCCTTATTTGGAATTGGCTGTTAGTATTATACAGAAGTGGCCAAGATACAAGCTGTAATTTTATTTATTTTTATTTTGTTTTTCAATAACGTGCCCAATTAATTGATGAGCCCTTTTAAAAACAAAGAAAAAAAGGAAGTCTGGATTCACAAAGTATAATTTATGTCTAAAATATTGAAACAAATCTGGTATTTCAGCCACAGACTTATGTGCTTAATTAAAATCTGTTACAGGTGGTGGAGTCAACGCTGGCTTTGTAATATTAGGACTGTTGATTGTGGTGGGGCTGGTTATTGTAGGAGTGTGTATTTGGAAAAGGTGAGTATTTGAGGGTTAACAGTGAACATTGGGGGAAATTCAAAATATTGACTTTCTAGATATAGAATTACTCTGTTCAGCCCACAAGGCAGGGAATGGCTTTAGCTTGATCAATTTTGCTTGGCTTGTGTACTGTGATGCCCTGTTGTCATGGTAATACCATACCTTCTTTTCCAGATATCGAAAAAGAGAATATGATGATCTTGCTTTTCTGAGAGACGATTTCTCTTATACAAAGACTGATTTTACAGACAGAGACCTATAGAGGGAGCAATTTCTTCATCCTGTAGAGGAGGGCATTTCTCTCTGGGAATGTTGGAGCATTTTTTTTTCTGTGGTTGTGGCTTTTTTTTCTGCCAGAGGAGGATCTGATTTCCTTGGTGAAGGCCCTTGTTTTGAGTGGAAAGTTGAACTGCACCAGAAAATATATATGCATTTTCTTAATCAACTCTTTAGTCATTCTTGCGTTTATTTTATTAAGTTCATGGTGATACTGGTATAGAACTGAGCTTTGTAATTTTGGCTGAGAGTTTTGTAAAGACCCTCAATTGTCGGTCTTTCCACCTTTATAAATTTTTCTCTCAGATGCTTTATTTGTGATGAGTGTAAGTCCTGTGGTGAGACTATTTTTTGTACTGTTAGACAAAAATGGCTGTAGCAGTATTTAACACCTGTACAGTATTTAACACACAAACGACTTTTAGTAAAATATGGGTCATCTTTTTCTTTTAATCCAAGCACATACGGCCATATTGAGGTGATGTAAGTATTGACAGTGATTAGACAAAGTTGTTGTTTTGTACAAAGATGAGATAAAAAATTTATATTTCTTATTTTCAGGAACATTTTTGGCATCTGTGGGCGTAGTAATTTCCAACGTCTGTGATAAGTATTTACATTGATTGGTGTCTATGGGTGCATTCAGAACTTTCCTAACTTAACCCCAAAAGGGCAGTCCTTGCGCATATACAGTTTTTGCTTATCCCAAAAGCCAAGACCTGCATCTATGCATATCTTGGAAATATTGGTGTTTTGTTCTTTTTTGATTTGTGTTTTCAGAAAAAATACCACAATGATATTCAATATATTCAAAATGTTTTATGTCTTGCCTCTTGTTTGAGCTATTTTTGGAAAATGGAGTGAGAAAACAAATTTTATAGGTGCTTGAGAGAAAAAATTGAGGCATTTCACTGCCTCATACACTTGTAGATTCTGGATACAACTAAAACAGAAATATGCTGATTTTTTTAGTACAAAGATAACAAATATAGCATCATTATCATGAAGAATTCCCAAGCAGAGATGCGAAGAAATTTGAAATATTTGTACATTGTTTTATGCAGTTTTTCATTTTCCGAACCAGCTATCAAATATGAATTCCATTTTGATAAGTCAGTAATTCTGACAGGTTTTCTCAAATTTAGCAAAAAGGCGGTTAGTGGACATCTGTTAGACTTAATCTGTTTTCAGTCAGCATGTTTTACATAATAATATACATTTGCATATTAGAAATATTGGTTCACACTGCACCATGAGATTCTGAATCTACCTTTGCACAAATTTCTCAGCTTAATCTAAGCACCTTGTGTTTCATAGTAATTTTCAAACACTCCTCTTTGCACAGCAAGTGGTGGTTGCTGTTGGTTGGGTATTGGAACAGAACTAGCTAGTACCTTCTTGTTTATGGCTGACATATGCAGGGTGTAGAAATTTTATGGACTTAAGAGGGAGCCAGAACAACTGTACTGTTTCACAGCCAATAGCAAAGCTAAAATGGAACGGGAAGATATGACAAAGAGAGATTGAATGAATCAAAGACATCAGTCATAACCATCAGCAAACAGCTGCAATTTATTATGTAGGTTCTGAGATCAAATTAAGTTTTTGTAATGGTCTGATAATTACATGTATCACATAAATTATGTTTGCTTTTTATAGAGCAGTATTGTTTAGATAATTGACCATTTTGAGCTTAAACGTAATGCGTGCCATTGCAAAACAATTTCAATAATGTGTTTAGACAAAAATTACTGACATTGTTGACATTAATATTAAATATTGAAACAAATATTATTCTTGTAGGTTGGTGGGATTCTTTTTAATGTTTTGATTTAACATGTATACATGTGAGAAAGAGAGAGATGTGCATGTTAAAGATTTTAAAGATGTAATAGACCCTAACTTCTCACATTTTATTACTTATTATGGTCAATCTCACATCTTGTGGACTTAATTTTTTCTTTGGTTATAGCTGAAATCCATAAATGTTGCATAACTTGAATTTTTTATTTAGCTGGAACAGATTTTTGGTCCTAAGTTGTCCAAAGCAATGATGTGCCAACAGTTTATCCAAATCAGTAAAATCATAACTCTTACATAGTTCAGACATAAAATATTTAGCTTGGGAAGATCTTTTGATAACAAGAATGAGTAATAGTGCATATTATATCTAAAATTTCAGATCAGATGCAACATTTCAGCAAATATAAATGATTTGATGTTTAGAAATTATCCAAGAAAAACAAAGAGAGAGATATACAGCTTTGGCTGTTCCCTGTTTATGTGCATTGTAATTTGTATTTCAAGAACTGCTATATTGCTTGCAAACTACACATCTCTTCCTCATATATTTATGTGTGTGTGTTGAACATTTATTGTAATATTTGGGGCAAATTATATGTTTTTATTATTTTGCATTTAGCTACAATTTAAACTTGTTTATGAAGGTACATCTTATGTATTGTTTCATGGTAAGATATTTGTTTGTTTTAATTTATTTGCAAAACACATAATTGCAACTTTTGTTATTTATATATTATGCAAGGGATAAGAGTAAAGCATTTTAAGGTACAATATGAGTTGATTGATTTTATTTTCATTACGCCAGTTACATTAAAGACATAGGGTCATCTCTATACCCGCTATACGTCCCCAAAACATTTCCCCACACCGCTTCTCCCTCCCAACCATTCTATCTCGCCTCAATGCCCCCTCCCCCCATACCGTATATCTGCCTTTTTATTTTTCGTCAAAAGATCGCATAACTTCCAATTACTTCTATTTCTACGAAGCCTGAGATAAAGGCGACAATATAAGGCACTGGTTGGGGTGCTTCTTTTTTATTCGATGAACCAAACGGTGCCTGAAAAAGATGCTGTGGTGGTTTATTTAATTTTGGTTAAGCAAATAACTAAATGAAAAGGGTGTGTAATGTTTTTACCGTTGCCACTGTTGAAGAACGAAGTGAGATATTACATACATTTTTTAAAAGTCGCAAAAAATTGTAAACGTCGGTGATACTGCACACATTAATCCTCGCCTACGTTCTAAGTTTTGAAGCATTGAAGCAGTTCGATTTTAACAATTGTTTCCTTATTTTACCACGACATTTTTGGGTCCCGCGGGGGTGGTGTACTTTTGAAAAAATTGTATTTAAATCAAAGTTTTTTTAAGATAAAGAATTTATTTTTGGATGTCGCATTTTAACCAAAGGTAACCTATGCTGCGAGAGAGTAACGGTGGGCTGGAATATAGCTGAACGTTGCTCAAGATGAGGGGAAATATAGATACAAGGGAGTATCTAGTATCGATTTTTTAATTAAAAAAAAAACTGTTTTAATACTATTTTGCGGAGACGCATCGGTACGGCGGAGTATCGGTGCGGTAACGTTTAGGAATGTAACCATCGACACGACCTCGCATCCATAGATCCCGGCATCCAGGCATCCCCTGCAAAATTACCGTTATACGCGCACCGAACGTTACTCCCCCTCACCGATAACTCCCCTTATCTTTACTCCCCTCATCAACATTGGGGCTAAAATTCTCTTGAGTCCGCTGTAAATTTTAGTTTCCGTTCTACTTAGACCCACTACCCTCACTTCCCCTGGCCTAATCCATGTGAGATAGAAACAAGACGGCACAGTAGCAGAATGGCGAGTTCTCAGCGATGGCGCCTGCTTGTTTTTCAATTTCTGTGCATATCTTCTTCGGTGAGGGTAACCCTGTCAGCGAACAAGCTACTACTTCTACTCGTGGACGGCATGAGATGGGATTACGCCGACAGAGAGAACCTACCTGCCTTCAAACAGATAGAAATGCAAGGTGCCCGCGCGACGAAAATGCGACCCAGTTTTCCGAGCTCATCATATCCCAATTATTATTCCATTATGACAGGTATGTTACGTTATTAATCCCTCTCTGTGGCTTTGTAGAATGGCCCTTGTACAATTAATTGTATAATTGTATTAATAAATGAATTCATGAATGCTGAGATCTGAGATCTGCCAGTAATGAATTGCATGTTACGTGTTTTTGCTTGCTGCCAACCAGGCTGGAAAAGATGCACATCTCTGTTGAGTCATCCCCTTTTAACCAATGCCAAGTATAAGTGTGACAATGTGTAAGAATTTTAATATATTAATTCACGAAAAAAAAAACCGCTTCAAAATCTGACACATGGATATAACTCGCCTGATGTACTGTAACTGGTACGTTGTAGACGTAGATGCCCTTTGGGCCTAGTTCTTGCCTTAATTTGTAAATTTGACCTTACAAGTTTCATGAGATAAGATAAAAGTTTATTTATATTGGCCAATATATATATTGGCCAATATATATATATATATATATATATATATATATATATATATATATACCGGGAATAATTTGCTCTGTAAAAGCGTCGTTGTACTAAAAACAACTGCAAAAGCTATATGATTTAAAATGCATACTGCTGGTAGGTACTTAAAAGACAGAATGTAACGCCTCATTCGATCCACATTATGTCGCACCTTGCACAAATTATGCATTGTAAATGGCCGCACCTTGTAGACGAGGATGATGATCTGCGTGTTTAATTCGAAAATACGAAGCACAATTTAGTAGTAATGTAACGCTCGTATTAAATAAAAGTGCTAATTTTTTGGCGATGCTGAAATCATTAAAAGTTCTAACCTCATTATTATTCCAGTAATCACTCTACTAAACATTGCGTTTTTGCACTCACTTCTGCTGTAGCCTACACAGTATAAAAGAAAAACTCCAATTTTCACCTCTAAAAGTAAAAAGATATCCATGTTATTATAACCGTGTAGTATTTACCTGTCCATTATATCACCTAATTCCTTGTTTAAGGGTTACATTGTGAGAACCATGGCATGGTATCAAACTTCATGTATGATGCAGACAGAAATAAAACATTTGACATAGGCGGTAATCCAGAGTCTTACGAATCATTCTGGTGGGAGGATGCTGAACCATTATGGATTGGTGCTGAGAGACAGGTAATGACCCCGCCCCC